ATGCTCAGACCACCCAGCTTGTTCCTGAACTGCTAGAAGGTAGTCAGGGTCATTGGTTTATCTGTGCACCAACATCTCATCCTCAATGAAAACATGTCTTCACTACAGTCTCTTAATATTTGCTACCCAAACACTGCTACTGCACAGGACCAGGAGCACTACAGCAATAGACCTCAGTGCAGCTACTTGCTCTGCTCTGTCCCAGTTTGGGTTGGCTGCAGATCCCATTATGCATCTGGAGGCATTTCACTATTTAGATGATTACCATCAAGCTCAGACTTTCATCTTTGCACAACAAGGATCAGTTTGCAATCAAATGTTTTGGAATACTTTCTGGCCATTTATCAGACAATCTCAGCAACTCTCAGTAAGTTCTAAAAAAGCATTAATGTGTAAGTGTCCTGCAAGCACGGTTAGTGATAGGATGTTGAACAGTGAAAACTTTTCATTTTGATAGAGATGATCTTATTCTGACTTCTGAGCATGTTTGGATATGTATAACATTATTATTTGCATGGGAGATAATACTTACCAGGAACAAAAATAGGCATCGCTAACATTCACCCTGGGTAAAACAGCTTTCCCACTGTCCACTCATATTTCACACTGCCCATTCCACAAAATAGCCACTGCACTGAACTCTGCCTCTGGCATATGTAGAACAAGACTTATCTAGCACCATGATATCTTATGCCAAGCAAAACCCTTATTTATTTTTTTTTAAATATAATTTTTAGGGTGAAAAAATGGTATTTGTACTCACTAAGCCAGCGATTTTCTCGAGATGCTGTTTCATCCTCACTTACTCAGGACCTCTCTGTTTCTCCTGTCTCCTCTGCCATTGCAGACAACTGAGCAGTTTTGACTGGCAATGTGGCAATGTGGGCATCTCCATCATCAGCGTGAGGTGGTGGAACCACTCATCAAAGTTGGAGCCCTGTTTCTTGTACAGGCAACCCAAAATGATCCAGATTTCTTTAGAGAAATAACATCTTCCCCCTTTCCCACAGTCCAGACTATTTTCATAGTGCTTGAGATTCACTGGAAAATGAAAGCTATGACAAAAAACAGCCAAAAAGACTTTTTAATTAAAAAAAAAAACAACCTGAGTTTTCCACTGAAAACATACAGATTTTTCAAACAGTCCCATCCATTGAAAAACATGAAGGATTGGTTTTTTGTCTGTTACTGGATTTCTTAGTCCTGGCCTAAGTACGTGGACTAAAAAAAGATCCATACTACTGCTATGGAAAAAAAGTACGATTGTGTTAAGTGAGCATGGTAAGAAGCATTTTAGTTCCCATTAACTGAATTAATTTAATCACAATAAGAACATGAAGAAAACAATTAAGAATTTGATAAACCCCCCCTTTTGGCCCTGGAAAGTTCATTTCCTCCATTTCTTAATATGTATGAGATGCAGAAGAAATCTTTGCTGGCAACACTTCAGTCCAAGATAGAAATTATAATGCTGCAGTGCACAATGGCAAAAGCATTTCACAAAAATTCCTGTTGAGCAATTAGAAAAACAATGTATTATTCCTCTCAGATCATAACAGGAGCTTGATTTCCACTTCAAAAAATAATTCAGAACATTTCAAACAGTTATTATGCATTTTAAATTAAGCAAGTCTGAGTAAGTTGTGACTGAAAATTGGACAGCACTAATCAAGAAGCTCTGGACCACCAATACTATTTAATGAATTTCATACTTCTAGGAAAGATTTCAGAGGACTGAGGTGAGGAAAGAACTAATATAGCATCAGCTTATCAGTGAATAGGTAGACTAATTCAAATTGACATAGCAGGAAATGTAAAGAAAATAATGTAATAACCCATAATTTTTGATCATTCCAGGACATAGAAAGCAAAACTAATTGAAATTTTTAAAGTTTATAAGAAATAGAGCTGGTCAGATAAAACTGACTCCTTATATTGATCAGCTAGAATTAAAAATTAGTTTAAGACAAAGCCAACACACATGTAGTATTTATGCTACTGATGGGCATTTAAAAGTGTGCCACATGACAGTCTGAAGCTGGATTTATACAAAATTAACTGGCTGGTATGAAATACATTGTAAATATGGCTTCTGAATTGTATACACGCATCCATTAAGCACAATCTTCTTTTTTTTAAAAATTGGTTCTTTACTATAACATTATTTAGTATTATTTTCAATAATTGAAATACAAGATAAAATTACCTTTCAAATCTCATCTAAAGATGAAAAAGTTTCAGAGGAGAGAAGCAGAGAAAACTAATGAATACAACTGACCTTAAACCAGCTTGCTTTTTCTGGAGGTACACTGCATTCCAATGATTGTGGAAACATACAGGACAGGGGTTCACCAACCACAGAAGCAATAGGCACAGGCATATTTTATACTTCAAATCTGATAAGACTTATAAAAATGAGGTAGAGTAGCAGTAAAAAGACTTGATACTATACAATTCTTTTAGCAGTCCTGTTTTGCTATTAGTGTTCCAATTAAAAATGCATTTAAATTATTGTAAAGGATCCAAAGTGGAGTTCCACAGAGGATCCAGAACACTTGAGTCTATTTACTCATTTTAAAGAGAGCTGAAGAGTGACTTATTCAGTTTGTAAATGCCTACAGTGAAAACAGCAATGTCACATCATGCACTTCAGTTTAGCAGACAAGAGACAAAAGATCTGACAGCTGGATATGGAAAGATGACAAATTCAGGCTCAATATAAGAGATGTGTTTAATAGTAAGTAATTATACTTTAAACAATTTGGGTGGATTCTTAATTCTAGGAGCTTTCAAATCAGTACAGGATGCTTCTTCTAAGAACAGCTTTAGTTCAAACAAGAATTTGAGGAAGTCTTGGAAACTGTGCTCAGCAAGAGAGCAGACTGAACACATGGTGTTTCCTTCTGCCTTCTGAATCAGATTACACTGGCACTCTTACATTTTTCTCATGGAAATACCCCAAAGGAGTAGATTTACAAAGGGAAGAGAAGTGGGCACGAGCATTTTGGACACATAGGACCATGCAATACAGTTGGGACTATATGGCTGCATTACACTGCCACCTGAAAGAAGCATCACCTAGGTACAGCAAGAGTGTAAAATTATGTAGGTAGAGAGGGACCCCACATTTTTGTACTAGAAACTACGAAAATAAAAGCAGTAACAGCATGCTATGTTAAATCTAGCAAATGCCAGAAATTTTGCATGCCAGGAGATTGCTCAGCCCAAGCCTGCAGGGGTACTGTTTTAAGTACATGTTTTTACTGTGAGAAAGAAAAACAAGATAGATGCAATGCACCTGAAAGAAGAAATTTACCTTTTTGGCCTCAGTGAAATAAAGGTGAAGGGGCCTGACACTCTACAGATAACCATGTAAAGGAAAAGGCAGTCAGAAGAGACAGAAACCTGAGAATTTCCTGCTTGAACTGTATCCATTGTTTTGTGAACATAAAATATGCAAACATTGAGTTTCTCATCTCAGGAAATAAAATTATTCCAATTGATGGCATTCCTTTTTGGATATAAGGCAATGAGATTAAAGTTGTCTTGTCTGGTGCCAAGTAAGAGCTTTGACCAGAATCTCTCGGGCACGACTGCCTAGTTCTCCCTGCAAGAGTCATGTCTGAACAAAAGGAAGACCATTTAAAGACAGCCACATTTTGAAGAAATGTGTTTTGGTGAAAAGCTGCTATACAGATTTAGCTGGAGAATCTTCTTCAAGAGTGTTACATTTTTTTACTCCAGTAATTTTTTCAGTAGCCAAGATTCTTACTTCACAATTTCAAACTTCTGCATACCCAGCTGACAGGATTAAGACACAGTGTAGGAGTTCACCCTGCACAGACGGTGAGCATAATGTACAGTCATCATGGAGACAACAGCTCAGAGATGGAAAAATCCTTCCAGGTTGCTCATGACAGATCTATGGCAGCGGTCACCCACGACAAAGTATTTTTAGAGTTCTGTACAGCCCATTTCTATGCATGCGCCCCCCAGAGACCCTTTAATTCATAGATACTGTTAAAGCTCACAAGACTCTCTTCAGAGACATACATCATAGTATCACTTTTGTATCTGTGCTTTCCCACATGGGCAACATGCTGCTGTGGAGCTATATTTAAAGCAGGCTTTGGAACAAGGGACGTTGCAGTTCAACAGCACTAAATAATCCACAAACTTTTCAAGTATATACTTTATTTCATTCATATTTCACAGTCAATTTCTGTAAAGTTTTAGCAAAAAGGTCATGTTCTATAACAGAGGTGTTGGGTTACTGTATTCAGAGCTAGCAACGGGCTTTGAAAGTACAGAAAATATTTACATTCCAACTAGAACAGTAGAATTTCAAAAAGACATAGTAAAAGTAATCAAAAATACCAACATTTATTAAAACTTAATACAAAAACCAATCTGTCTGACCCATCAAGCTACCCCACTTGTAAGTTGTCAGCAACAGCTGAAGCTGCAGCAGGCCATCTGATTAGATAAAGGCAGCTGTCTTCAGCTAACTTCTTAATACCAAGTCTTGCTGTTTCAAAGATTAAAACAAAAAACAACCAATCAAACCTGTGAGCTCACTGCTCAATTTGGAGGCTAACATTTCTGTTCAAATCCACTGGACCACTTTCAGATCCTGCCCAGAATCTGGACTTATCCTCGTCCTGATGTAGTCAACTAATTTTCCAAATGCATTTCCAAGCCAACCTATTTTATTACATTGCAGCCAAGAAAGGAAAACCTTTATTGTTTTAAAGCTTTATCAGGGCTCCCAGAAAAAAAGGCAACTAAGAAAACTGAACAGAATGGTACCTGATGACATATTTATCACCAGAGACCTTCAACATCCTTTTTTTAATAGATGTTAAAGTTTCCCATTATCTAGGGATATGCTTCCTAAAGAGCCACAGATTTAAGTATGAGTTCCAGAGTGGATTTTTCTAGTTCAGTAAATAGTATTTAAGTCTGGACTGATGCCCAGTAGGAGATTTCTAACCAGCTGCTGGACTTTATTCACAGATTTATTGAACATGTATTTATACAAATTACACCAGCTGAAAGGCCCATTAGCTGTAAGCACACCCACTTCAGCCCACCCTCCATACTGTCAGGGAAAAAGTACATGTGGTACTATAAGGACTACGAGAGATTTCCACCAGCTAAGCCTCCTTCAGTCAGAGGGTACTGCCCTGCAAAACAAGTTTTTCATTTCTTTATGCTCTATTAGAGCAGTGGAAATAGAATGGAGAAGGTCACTGGGAGACTCATTTTTCCTTGTCTCAAACAGCTACAATTTGACTTCATTTTTTCTGCCTCCCTTTCATCTCTAGGTACCCTGAGCCCATCATCTTGTTTTCTAGGACAATTCCATCCTAAAAATACATATTCTGAACTTCAAATTCTCCTATTTAATAGGCAGAATAAGAACTTTAGGAAAAGTAGGGAAAATATCCTCCTGAGTTTGCTGGCTGAGTTCCAATATCGCCAGGCTGTGAGTTATGAGACATGGTAGTATCACAACTATATCAGGTATATTAAAACAACTAAATGCCAGAACAGAGTCTACCAACACTTCTAAACAATTCCCACATACTGTACCAGTCTTCAGCAGGTAGGCAGGATCCCATGAAAGGCATGGCTACTAGTTTGTTACAGGTCCACTAGAGCAAACCCTGCCACAATGTTTCTTTCCAGGCCCATGGTTTTACAAACAAGACTCACATGCCTCAACTTTGTAAGACATGTAAAGCATCTTTTCACCAATGTAAAAAGGGTGAAATCCCTTACAAGAGAGAAGTCCCTTACAATTTCTCTAATCCACCTATTTCAGGAAGGACTGTAAAAGTATTCTCTACAGTCTTCTGCAATACTGATTCCTAGAGGCATCAGAAAATGTAAAGTCTGCGTGACTGTCTCGTCACAAATTAGCAAGACATCCAGTCTACTTTCAAGTTTCTTTTTTTTTTTACAATATGAAACAGATGATAGAAAGAATCAAATACCTAGTCACCTAGACTGCATGAGTTTTTGAAAACATTGTCACACAGAAAGGAACATATCACAGACGATTCAGATTCCTTAATGTTCTTAGACAAAGCTGCTCTCAATTTTCTACACAAACTGCCTCTGGAAAAATTCCCTTCAGATTGCAGGGAGTGATGCAGTTAAGTGTCTAGAAAACTGCAATGAAATAAATGTCTGTAAATCAGTTTTTGTAACATAACTACTGTGGCTCTCCACTAGCAAGGTCAGTATCTTATGCATACTGTGGTGTTAGCAGTATCTCAAGGCAAGCAGCCTAGGAATGGTGTCAGTCTGTATGAAGAAAAAGAAATGTTTTAGAGTTTGTTTTTTGAAGTTCAAACTTAGGTAGATAAAATTTTTAGCAAGTTTATCCAAGCTGACACACCTCCCACCCTCACTACATTCATCAGATTACTCTACATAAAAAAAGAAGGAACGGCATGGGAGAAGGACTTCACCACACACCAACTCCCTTCATCTACCTGAAACTGGTGATGGCCCAACAGTGGCACCTGTTCTGCTGCTGCCCTCTCAGAAACAACCATCTGAAGATGGGAATGCTTGCAGAATGCTGCAAATTACTACCTTCATTTCAAGAATGGGAACAGACCAGAAGAGCACATACAAAGTTCTTCAGTCCAAGGAATTACATAGAGTTAGCACAAAATTCAAGGTCACACTGCATTACTAAGTACCCATTCTGTCTAGAACCTACCATGCTATTCCAGCCCCACAGTTGGCTCTGAAGACAAACCATTAATGGCAATGCAACTTTGCAAATCTTGGACTCAAAAAATGCTCAAAATAGAAGTTTAAGACAGGAAAAAGGAGGCACAGAAATAACTTGACCAACACCTATGCACATTTTTACTACATGTTGGGATAAGTGGGGTCTTCAAGGTTGCTATCAGCTTTATCAGATCCTGTTAGAGATGCTTCTAGCTCTGCCCATGACTGTGGAGCATTGTTCTTTATTGCCTCTATAAAAAGCTGTGTTTGGTGCTTCAACCGGTCCAGCTCAGCCTGCGTCACCTGGTTCTGATGAATAAGCTCCTTGGTTTTTAAAGTGATCTCCAGCAATCCCGACCTGCGTAGCACAACAAGTGTATTCTGAAAGCGTCTGCACTTGCTTTGCTGTTGCAAGAGCAGCTCAGGGGCAGTGCAAATCTCTTCTGGTATCAATGGAGGGCTCCACACTCCAGAAGGCATTGTAGTCTGTGATGCACTCTCGCTCTCATGAAGGGTGCACTTTGTTGCCTGCAGAGTTCCAAAAGGCAAAAGGGGAGTCAAACCTGGCACTTTCTGAGCATCACTGGAAACATGATGAACACCAGGAAGAGCTGACAGTTTTCCACTTGTCACTAGAGCTGAAGAACTTTGCTGGTTAGAATCCTGAGGGGTCTTAAAGCTAACTGGTAGGTGGGAAAAAGGACTAGTAGGCAAGCCTGTACTCATCAGTACAGGAGAAGTCTCCATCTTGGGTGCTTCTGTGCAGAGTCGTTTATGGCAAGTGGTTTCCTGACATTCTTCTAGATCAAAGGAATGATCTCTTTTGCAGGGATGTGGTGCTATTTTGGGAAAAGAATTCAGGATGGGCAGGTAATTAGTGGAGTCATTTCTCTTTTTCCCAACAGGGTGATGATTAATGGGAGGTGGGATTGATGGACGAAGAAACACTAGCTGTGGCTGAGCTGGAATCACTTCAAAGGATGGCTGCACAGTCCAAGACTGGAGCTGTGATGAACTCCCCTGAGAAGCACAAACAGGGAAAAACCACAAGTCTTACAAAAGCATTGTAGATGATAAAAACAAACTTAAACTAAACAGGTGGACTGTGCCATTTTTCCACATTTGATATATACTGTCCAATTAATGTGTTACTAAGATTTTTCTATCAAACTCACCCTTCTCTGACAGTGGAGCGTAATGCTGGAAATAAAGTTGTAATCCATAATCCTTTTACTATGCAACAGCAGATACATTTAAAAACAATTCAATCTGAATTTATATATGCTTTCCTAAGTGAGGATTACAGTGCAAGATTATATCATAAAATGTTCATTAAAAAGTTTGACCCAGACTTGGGGTCCAACTACAAGTGCTCAGGAAAGCCAAAAAATAATTAAGCTTTCTGTTATGAAATATCTTAAGAGCCAAGGAAAGACTGCACAGACATTTTAGGAACAATGCAGGCTCCCTCTTTGTTGAAAGGTAGCAACTCAAATCTTCTCAAATCTATTCTTATAGCAAGACCTTGAAATGGTTATTTAAGATACACAACAGCTGTTCAGGAAGTCTTGTAATTTGAAGTACAATACAGAGTTTCAGTAAATTTAAAACTATGAAGCAGAAAAAAAAAAAAGCTGAATATTAACCAATGCAAGGAGAAAAGCTTGTGGTAAGCCCAGAGGAGTTTAACTCTGTACCTCTGGTGAAAGTGTCCACTGATAAACCTTAAATGCATTTTATTTCAAGAACAATGCCCAAGGCTTCGCTCCCTCCCACAAGTCATACTCTGGAATATAGGGGAAAGCATCCATTTTTACATGACATTACCTCTTTTTCCTCCAACACCTTACTACAGATCTTCGTGAGATCTTCTGGCCAAAAACACGATTGCTTTTCTCCAAAGACATCAAATGGTCTAGTAAGTCACACTATTTCTTTCTAAAGCAAAATCTCACTTCTGCATATATTTAAGCCATCACCACTACAATTACACGAATATATTGTCAGCTGCTTTTTCAATTCCTTACAATTTGGAACATAACTGGAGGCCTGTTGAAGACACAGTTTTTAGCTACCACAAATACATCTTATTTTTTTAGTACTATATTAAGTCATCTGAAATCCATATCCTTTCCACAAATCTTGTAAGTTCTGAACTGGCAAACACCAACATGCTTTGCTGAAGTCTATTCCCCCAGTAAAAGACTCGGAACTTAACCAAAAGCTGGTATTACCCACTAATTAGGACACTGAGACTGGGAGCTAAGATTCAATTACCTACTCTGACACAGCGTTTCTTTGGTTCAGTGGGCTTATGTGCTTATGGAATAGGGGTACAGAACAGCTACCTGTAAAAATAGATATTACTACCTTAACACAGAATAATGAATATTCAAAAGAAAAGTATCTGGAGATGTAAGGAGTGAGAAAGCATATAGATACTGCAGCTATACATACGCAGGACAGAACATACAGCCCTAAGGAGCAAGGGTTTGGAACTAGAAGTTGCCATTTACTGCACCACTGAATAGCACCTAGGACGGCAGATCCCCACAATCATTGAGGCCAAAAGAACTGTGGAAACTGTTTATCTTGCTCTTGGGTTTCTTTCTATCTCTGTTCTTTTGTCTTTGCCTTCTCACATAGCACTCTGCTCTTGTTCTCCTACTCAAAATCTCATTTTCAGTAGAGAAGGCCACTTTTATTTTACTAACTCTGCAAACTGTTGTGTGTTTTGTTCCATTTTTTAATGAAAGCTATGAAAGCTAACTTCCTGATGTATCTGTGTCACTTGCCTAAAAAGCCTTCCTACTTATTAAAGACTTTGATGAGACTTACAGAAACCTTACCACAATCAGCACTGTGGTCTAGAGCATTACTTGCCACTTGATTTTTTTTAGCAGCAATACAGTTAGCTGTTTACATTCTGAAATTGGGCCAGCAGGTAACCACCACTGTAGAGGATCACAGTAGTTCCAAGACAGAAGGATGATGCTGATTGAAACTGAAACTGGAAGAAATAAACAGCAGTAACTGGATGCTGCCTTTTTTTTTTTTGGTCCAGCAAGTCCAACTGAGTGCTGTGTTGAAAAGACCATTTTATAAAGATGACCATCTGAACTAAATAGGCATAATGAAAAAAGGCAGAGAGACATTTCATTATTATTTTGACCTAGACTCATTGCTTTCCTTTATTGTAGTAAAGGTTTTTCAATTTGACATTATTGTCTTTCAGCATATGTAGTTAGATATTATGATGCTCTGCTCAAGAGAACCAAGTGTGATCATTTTATCCAACTCTTCCTTGCCAAATTTCCTTTTTGCTATACTACAAAGACTTTTTATATATATATATACATACATACATATACGCACACATATATAGATATGCACACACACACATACATATATATGTGTGTGTGTGTGTGTAGTTGGAGTTCTTTTATATCTCTCTCTATATAAGCTACTTATTATTAGTTGCTGCTGCTTCTTATTTTGCAACACAACTTGGAGTTTAACACTGGAATCAGTGCAGGTGATGTCTTAATTTTTGAGCTCTGGGCCAAAGGGTATCAGTCTTTGGTGAAGCTTGCCTGTTCCTGACTTTATATATAAAAACTTCAGCATTTGTTTTGTCCACACATCTAGGAATGTGACTATAAAAGAAAATTGTTGTCAAGATAAAGCATGATGCCCAGAGATGATCCTCCCCCACAACTGCATAATCTGCTAAACATTAACAGTGAGTATTAGGTCTTGCTTGTAGTAGTAACAGGTTCAGTAGGAAAAGAATCAGGATTTATATTCTTTTTTTCCCCTTCCCTTCTGTATTCTCAGAAGTATTTTAGTAAAAGAAAACATAGAAGAACTTTTGCTCCACTCCAAAAATGAGTGAGTACAGAGCAAGAGGTCTAATAATATGACAGTACTTTGGACTTCTCATACCTTCTGTTAAAATGTTAAAGTTACAGAGGGGGTGTCACAGATGTGCTGGAGGAAATATACATTACAAAAATACTGGAGAACAAAGATAGGGAATGTAATTGTTGCAATGTGAGCCATCTCATGCAGTTAAGTGAAACAACTAATAAAGTAGAAGTACCATAGCTAACTTCAGATAAGGATTTAACTTTTTCATGTATAACATTCTGGATTAGTGTTTCCCATTGCATATGAAGCATTTCTAGAACCTAAGAATGAGGAAACAAACCTATCATCCTACTTCACCATCTCTACTGAATAAAGAAGACAACAGCAGCTTTCAAAAGCAAGTCACGCTTTTCTGTTTAACCTTTGGTGCTATTCACATAACATTCTTGAAGATGTATTTTGGGGAAATTATTTTGAGACAAAGAGGTTTAGTAGATGGAGATGGAGCAGAATTCCTCTGTATCACATTCCATCTTAGTGATTCCAGCTGCCTCTCGAAAGAACAGAGACTCACGTAAGAACTTCTTAAATTACCAGTTACTTTCTGGACTGCAACAACATTGCAAAATCTTTTTTGAAAGGATAAATGTTTTTTAAAAAAATTAAGAACACGCAATATTTTTCAAGATATTATTTCTTCCCTACCTGTTTAACCAACACATTTTTCATAACAACCATAGGAGACAGCGCAGGAAAGGAGCTGCTTGTGGTCCTCGGGCATTGCCAAGGTCCATCCTCTGCATTCCAACACAGCGCATTCAGCACATCCTCGGAGTCTGTCTGCTCCATAGCACTTGGACACTCTGAACTTCCATCTGCCAGATGCAGAATTCAGCTGTTAGTTGTTCCACATGCAACATGCTTACTAGTGTCTTTCAGTTCTACCATTCTGCCTCCTTCAACCAAGTCACAAAGAACAATAAAGTTTAGTTCTGTAATATTAACAAAATTAAAGCTGCTATAACAGCTGTCAAACAGCCTCTAATAAAAGGCTTCGTATTTCAGGTCAGTTCTTATAGAGACATTTTCTCCCCCAAAAAGCTATTACTTTTTGTTCTTTTGTATTTAGTCTCCATGGGACTGCATAGTACCCTGAAGGTAGCGTTGCTCTAAAAACTGCTACAGGAAAGCATTACAGGCTCCAGCATTACTACATGCACAGTTTGCAATGCAGGCATTTTGTGTCTTGGAATTTTCTATCTAAAGCCCAGTAAAGCAGTATGCTTTTTTCTTGTTCAAAGGTTATTTTTGCACAGTTTTGTTGAGTACTAAAATGGCACACCACGTCTATTATTTTACTGATGTTATAACCATTACTCTCTGGTTTATCAGGCTCTACTGACAATATGGTCAGATCATAAGAGGCACTGGGCAGCATAATCCAACAATTCATTCATCAATGCAAAGAACAAAAAGTAATTTTGACATCTCTACACTAAGTCTAAGATTCTTCCATTAATTCTAAATTCCCATGCCATCCAAATTCAGAGGTTGAACTTTCTAACTTGGTAATGCTCCACTTCAAAAGACTGGTAGTAGGAGGATTGCAGGTGAAACCTATCTTGCATAGAAAGGCCCTCCAAGGTAGTGAGACACAAACTGGAAGGGAGTACTCAGATTTGTTAAATCACCAATTAAAGCACAGCTTCAGCACAGTAACACAGAAAAAAGGTAACACAGTGTTTTTCTAAACCTGAATATCCAGAGTCTTTGTCAGATTCAGCTGCTGCCATACTGAAGCGATGGTTGAAGCTCTTCATTTCCGTCACTTTGCCCAACAATTCTTCAAGGGTGTCAGTAGCTGACTATTTTGTCTGAGTGCTTCCATAGTGCCGTGGGCAGTTTTTAACACCTTTTCCATTGAGGAACTACAAAAACAGTTAAGAACAAAAAAGGACTTTATCTGAATCTAAAGAAAAGTTCCATCAGTATAAGACAACAATGGAGGACAGTTGCATATCTCCTTTTATACGGCCAGTGAGCTAACTGCAAATTTTAAGAAACATCTCAAAATGCTGAAATAATGAAATTTCAATCAAAAGGTAATGTATTGGACATGTCTTTCCAGCCCAAAAAAGTAAAACAAACTAAAAATTAAAGACTATTCATAAAACAACATTCATTTCAAGAATTAAAATGACTCAGGGCATTATTTATCTTATGAAAGTTTTGTTGTCCCAAGGGTTGAATTGCAAAACAAGACAGTTGTGCTGGGTGAAGCTCTTACAACAAATACAGCTGAACCTGCAAAGCTGTAGTTTTGCTAACACAGCTTGTTTCATTCTCAAGAGTAGAGTAAGTCATCAGAGAAAATAATGAGTGATCAGTGAACACATTGGGGGCTAAAGAGATCTATGCTGCAAGAAGAGCAACACATCCCGCAATACACTCCTAGGGGAGACAGAGCCTTAGAAATGCCCAAACCCAGAATGAAAACATTGAAAGGCTGAAACTAAAGGCTATGAAAATCCAAAAAATTTAGTAACATTAGGGCCTCCCACACTACATACTTGTCATAACCTTCTGCTGCTTCCTGAGGGTAGGCAGTATCTTGTAAGACTAAGAAAGACTAGTAAGACTTCTGCTTCTCTTAAAGAAGGTAATTGAGAAATTGGCTAACAGAAAACTAACACAATTAAGTGCAGAAATTATTTCTATTTTTGTTTGTAGAAATTATTTTCCTATAAAGTAATCCACTGAAATTATGTCTCAATGTTAAGTTTTATATTTAAATTACAAAAACAGGAACTCAGGAGTCTGCAACACAGTCAGGCCAGCAGTCCATCAGCATCAGTAACTAGTACAAGCTGCTTCAAATGACATTGCAACAGACATTCTGGAATAATCTACACCAAAACACAAGTTTCTTTTTCAGGTCCTGACAACTTTGTTACAAGTGTTCTCCAAAATCCTGAGTCTTAGCATCAGTATTGAAGTCTGAGATGGGAATACGACTGTCTATTACAAAACTATGGAATAATGCTCAGCAGAAGAAAATTTCCTCATGCAGCTACTTGCATCACTTTCACCTTCCATATTCAGTCACACCTGCCTGCCTGCCTGCCTGCTAACAGGTATGGAACAAACACGGTTACATAAGCACAACCTAGATGCTATCCCTGAAATGGAAGAAGTGGTTTAAGTCCTGATCCAGGCTTCCATTACTTAGTCCTTTCCAAAACAAATATATATTTTTAAGAAAGTGATATGCAGAAATGCTAATTAAAATAAAACCCCAAAACACCAAAACCACCTCAAACCAAAACAAGAAACGGGACTAGAAATAAAGTAAGAACACCTCATCTGCCAGCTTTGCATCAAACGAAGCTTTGGGAAGGGCTGACACATCATCATCTCTCACAGAAAAAAGCAAAACACCTGAACCACAACCGAAAATAAATAAACCAGAAGTGCCACTCCCCCGAGGCACGGGCGTGAGAACCCTCCTGCCCATCCCTGGGCCAGAGCCGCCCGCCCGAGCCCGGCGGGCAGGACCTCCACCGCACACCGCCTTTAAACCGGACACCCTCGCCGTCGTCCAGGGCTGTCCCTGCCGCTGATCCCACCCAACCTCCTCCGGGGCCCACGCGGCAGACTCCTGCGGCACGAGGAGAGCCCGCGCAGGCGGGCCGAGCCACTCGGCTGCCGGGCCCGAGGCGCACCAAGTACAGCACAGTCCCGGGCCCCCAGGGCCGCCACCACCGTTCGCTCACGGCCGCGGCCGCCGCCCCCCGCCGGGCCGGGCCGGGCCGGGCCGCCCCTCACCTGGGCGCGGGGCCGCCACAGCTCAGCCGCGCCGCGCATGCGCCACCCGCGCCGCGGGCACGCCCCGCCCTCACGGCCGCCGCTGCCCGAGCGCGCATGCGCAGAGCGGGCTGGCCGGAGGGCGTGCCTTGGGCCAGGCGTGTGAGGGAGCCGGGCAGGGTGAGCCGATCCAGGAGTTTGGGATGCTGCTGGGCCTCTCGAATACTGTACAAAAAAGTACGATTCTTCCCCACACAGAAGGTTAGGCATTTGTGCAGCCTCTCTCACTCCATGAATGAGAAAGGAAACGCAGACAGACGCTTCGAATATGAGGAAAGCAGCATCAAAGAGGTCTCAAACTTGTCTCAAAGAGGGAAAACACACAAAAAAAAATGAATCGCGAAATCAATCAGGTTGGAAAAGACCTCGGATCATCGAGTCCAACCTATGACCTAACACCACCATGTCAAGTAGACCGTGGCACTAAGCGCTACATCCAGTCTTAAACACTTTCAGGGACGGTGTCTCCATCACTTCCCTCAGGCATCCTATTCCAGTGTCTAATGATCCTTTCTGTGAAAAAATTCCTTCTCATATCCAACCTCTACTGGCACAGCTTGAGACAATGTCTTCTTGTCCTGCCTCTGGTTGCTGGGAGAAGATGCTAAACCTCAGGTGGCTACAGCCTCCTTTCAGTCTCCTTGTAAGTGTGATAAGATCATCTCTGAGTCTTCTTTCTGGGCTGAACAGCTCCTTCTGCTCCTCACAGAACTTGGGCTCTAGATCCTTCCCCAGCTTCATTGCCCTTCTCTGGATTCACGCCAGCACCTCAATGTCCTTTCCTGAATGGAGAGACCCAGAACTGGACACAGAACTTGAGGTTTGATTTCACCAGTGCCAAGTACAGGGAAATAATCACTTTTTCCTGTTATGGGTGAAAACAAAAAAACCAACCAACTTTTACATGGTTGGGAAGTGTGAAACCAAAACGTGGATTTGGTTTACATGAACTGCATATAAACCAAGAGCAAATAAATAGGAGGAAGAGAGTCTCTGGTTCAATGAATATAAATAACTAGAGTAGCTGTTCTTGTTCTGAGAACTGCATAAACATGACCAGCATCCAGAAATCAGTCACAATATTTTGCATTTGGACACGAAAACCATTTCATTAGAGAAAACTGAAAAGACTGTGTGAAAGACTTGAGCAAAGACACAATGAATTCCTTAAGTAGAAATGGAAAGGAACACTTTCATTTTATGATGGTCTTGTTAAAGAACCTGAAATATGCTGATTAAAGAGGTCAACAAGATCTAATAAATTCCTGAATGAAAAAGAGAAGAACATTTAATCTCAGCATAGTCTCATAAACAGCTTGTCAAATGCAACACAATAATGTCTGAGGTTACATGGAATGACACTGTCATTTAAAAAAAAATATGGCACTGATGGATTCCAGTCCTACCAATCTGAAGTGCTGTGAGAGAACACTGATGACTCTTGTTCTTAGGATGTATTTTTGACCACTTAAATGCCAGAGGTGGCTCTGATTACTTCTGAACTGTAGTGTGAGATGTGTAATCTCTAGACTCTGGATTTGGATCCCATACTGTTCAGGAGTTTTGAGTTCTGAGGAAAAGCATGCTAAGAATGCTTTGCACAGGCATGGTCCTGAGTTGTCTCATACCCAGAAACAACCCTTACTCTCCTCCACAGAGGCCAGATTTCTCAGAATATGGAATATGTGTGGATGCTCAGTGACAAGAGCTCACCAGAGAGCAAGTAGCCTGTGTTTGGGACAGACAACCTGCTGTTCAGTTCAGATGATTCAGAGCAGATTTAGAATATGTGATACCAGGCCTTCATCCAAGGGGCAGCAGGTAGGAGAACTGAAATACTATACTGTTTAATAGAGAAGTTTTCTTGGATAGTCAAGGCAAACCTCTGTTCTAAATAAATTAAATCTTATCACCCAAATTGTCCCCGAATTAAGTTGACTTAAATCTTAGGTTTATATTGAACATCATCTAAATTCTTCCTCCTCCAAATACATTGGTTTGTAGTTTTAATATTTCTGTCATTGCCACTTCTCTCCCTTTTCCCTTCATTTGATTCTTCATTGATCCAAGGTCTCATATACTGTGTGAGTTCAGTGATTACAGTCAGTGGCAGCAGGATGTTTTTCTTTATGTTATACAGTGGTTGATTTGTTTATCCTAAAGGTGAGTGTTTTGACAAATAAATATTAGCTTTTTGTTCACTTCCCTGTTTATTCTCGTCATACAACAGTAAAAGAGTGAAAAGAATGTGAGTGAAGTATGAATGCATGCTTACTCAGTGTAGGTGTTTCAACAGTTATTAAAAAAAGGTGTTGAATCTCTACTTTTGGGAGAGGATGCAGAAATCATCTTTCATGGCTTAAGAGGGACAAAGGCAAGTTTTATCTAATGAGGTGGTAAAATAATAGGTCTTGTATGCTTACTGAACGATTAATAAAGGTATTGATGCATAGACTTCATAAATGCTTGTGGGACAAAGAGTCTTTTGTCCTAACAGAGCAGTAGAAAAAAATGTTTGGCAAACTTTGGAAATAAAGCATAGCCAGGTCAGAAGAATGTGGTTTCATATTACACAGTCTGAACTGGAAAGGTTAGGTCTGAAAATACCATGTACTTAACCTTTTTTTTCATATACTCAACTACTTTGTTTTGCTATCACAGACAAAATACAATTTAACAAGCACTATATTGTATTAAGTTAGTTTGCAAGTAAATATCTTTATTCATCTCACTTCATTGAACCAGTATAATTTTTATGATATTTTAATACAGGTATCTTTGTTCCTTCTGTTATTCACTTCTTTTAATACTAATTTTAATACATAAATAGAATATTGTTCAAATGATGCCTCCTAGGTTTTCATTGGTCTCAACATAAGAATGAATTCATGCAGATAAAGTGTGCTGTTGGACATTAAAACAATATTAAAGCTCAAAATCTCTTTGAAAAGACATTCCATGTATGTATTTTATCAATAATTAATATCTTATTTATTAAATATCAAAGCAGGAAACACTGTGTAATCATGTGCTCTGACCTACAGTCTATCACAGGTCATAGAATTTCACCCAGAAGTTGACTTAACAAGATTTTTCTCTAATGAAAGTACTTTAGTAATGGCTCCTTTTCTTCTAATTTCAACTTTAGGTATGTATTCTTTTCAAAGTACACATCTTTCATCTTGTTATATCCATCTGCAACTTCATCTTTTCCATAAACGTCTCCAATTTAAGACAAGGCAGAATAAAGGTAATTTAAAAATAACAAATTATTAGCAGAGATGGCATACCAGGAATAAAGCACTTTTGATGCTCTTACACTCTTCTGTACTGTGTTATGTTGGAGGAGAACAAAGGTGGATTTAAAATTCCCTTTACAGCTCGTAGACTTTTGGAACAACTGAGGATTTGGAGAAGCGGTGCTAAAGAGTAGTCCCAGTGACTGATTTGAACCCTCGCAGCCCCAGAGCATTGCAGCAGCCCCGAGTACAATGGAGAGCAGCAATTCCTTTTGTGTTCCCTCACCTCCCCAGCACAGTCACCTTCTCCACTTCTCCATCGACCCTTCAATATAGGGTGGAGAAGGATAGCTCAGTGCAGTGCTGTCAGGGAGATCTCCTCATGACTGTGTTTTTTTCTGGTGGAAAAATCAACAGGATTTACACTGTTGTTATGGAAGAGCTACTATTTGCTCCAAAGCAGGCTAGATGTCATGTTTTCCTGGAGTTCAAAAACTGGGTTTGTATTCAAGATGTTGGTGGTGGCTTTGGGAGTTTTTTTTCCATAAGTGTTGAGTTTGCTAAGACCATCTCTACAGACTCTTTGATATGGATTGTAACTTTTCCAGTGTCTTAATTTTTCTAGTTGCATCTTAATTTTGTGAACCTGAGAACTGACATAAGCGTCCACATGGCTTCTGTATGCCTGCATTGCTTGTAATAACCACTGGGTGTCGTGAGTCTCTTTGGATTACAGGATATAGAGAAGGACAAATTTAGTCCAATCAAGGACTGCCTATGGACTTTTTTTTTTCCGGGTGAAAAGGCCTTTGTCTGATTGACAGAGGATTGCAATAAGGAGTCCCAAATCTTACTTTAAAATTATCTTATTTGTTTAGGTAAATGTGTGATTCTTAGTGCTGTCCTGTGCAGGGACGGTAGTTGTTCTTTGGTGATCCTTGTGGGCTCCTTCCAACTCAGAATATTATGAGTCTGTGATTCTTTATTTATGTACCAAGGGCAACTAATACAGGATAGGAGTACTAGAAACAACAGTCTAATCCTCTACATGTTTTATTTCCATTACCATTTAGACATTCAACTGAATGACACCTTGTTTGGAAGAAAAACACTAAGATGTCAGCAGGTAATTAAAGAAATCCTGATATCATAAATGTTTAACACAGCAGAACTAAGGATGAATTGGTGATCTCAAATCAGTATTTTCCCAGTTTTTGGGAACTATATTTGACATGGCTGTGTTTGAGATCAGTTTTGGCCTGTTATTTTCATTATTTTTTGCAAGCAAATGAAAAGGCACTAATTTGTAACTTTATATACAAGGATAAAAAACATTCTTCATGCAGAAGAGAACTGTAATTTTGAACCTTCAGTTCAACCTGTGCCACGGAGGATGAAGGACCAACCATATT